CCTCTTGTTTATCTTTACCATAAGCCCACCTTACATGTGCTACCTTCTATTTGTAGAACAAGATCAATGCCTTCGGAATCGTCGTCAAAATCAAGTCCAACTTCTAAGCACGAAGTAATTTATGTTTGTGCATATGCTTTGTCGTAAAACTGAGGTTTTACATCAATTTTTGTTAACTTGGCACCAAACATTTGAAAAATCGACCTTTTGGAATCATGAGTCAGTCCTTATATTTCATTTTCAAATTTGCTGTTTTTATTACTCATCAATAGCAAAAGTTGGTTATTTCTGTCAGAATCGTATTCTCCTCAACTCTCTAGACGGACAAGGAACAAGTGAACTCCATTGAACCACGTCAGAAGACAAATTTTACTGTCATCGAAGGTACATTTCCCACAAAAAAATTATTATCACCTGCAAAAAATTTAGTTTATTTGCCTCCTTATGCAAATGAATAATTTAGGAGCTGCGGATTACGACAACTCGTCGGAGGACTCTGATGACGAAGGTTCTTGTAAAGTGACAGATTCTTCCCTCACCGTCGCTGATGGGTCGCCTGTCTGCACCCTTACTTTGAAAGTGCCTCGACGTACACATCCTATTTTCCACAGCCTTGCGGAGTATCTGTGCTCCACTCGACGTGTCAATCCGATGATATTCGTGCCCGGAGGCGATGGTTACCTCGGATCCGTTTCCATTTTCAATAATCGTTCTGCTTTTACATGCTCCTGGGTTTCCCACAGATCAGGATATCGGATGACGAATTTGCCAGACGTTGGTACAGTCATAGTTTTCCAACAATCGTCCACCCTGGGTCCTATGGTGAACTTCTCCCGTCCAAACCATAAGTGCGTAACAGTGTTCACGCCTGATGATAAAGTTCACAAGATCACTGGCCCTGCAATCCTTCGACCCAAAGATCCAGACAACCCTGTTTTAAAGTTGCCTCTCTCGGTCAAGTATCCTACCACTGTATCCCTCGATGACTTCATCGGTATTCTAAAAACCATTCGCGATTGCATGCCGGTCGATGAGAATGCAAAATCAGTTTGGGACGAGGAAAGATTTCCTACAGCGAAGGAAACCGCACAAACAACCATCGATAGTGGAATCGTATGTTTGTTTATGTTTGGCAGCCGATAAAGATAAGCTCAATCATTTATGACTGCAGACCGTCTGTCGCGAACTATAGCTTTAGACTGGATGCCGATGTTAAGCGCATTTATAAGAAAGTGCAATGAATAGTTTTATAGTTTTACAAGTTGAACGCTGACAGTATTGAACAAGTGCTAATCAAACCTGTAGGAAGACAGAAAGTTTTTAAGTGTTGTTATTGAGGTTTAGCACCGATGGATGGTTAAAAAGCTTCGACTGTGTTAATTATTAGGTAATGGTAAAACTAACAGCGCTTTCAGTTATTTTAACTAGAAGCTAAGATGAACAGGCTGATGGTAGAACTTTTATCGCTTTGGATGCGTGTCTAGGACCATTCACCAACGTCCGCGGCAGCTACTCCGATCGGAGATACCGATGAAGACTCCTATTAAGTCTCCGTTCAGTAAGAATTGTCCCTTTACGTCATGCTACAAGCTAGTGTTAGCCACCTCCCTCGTGACTTTCCTTATTCTACCCTTTTGGCTGCCTTCGTCACAACGCCAATCGTTTTGTTGTTGCATCTCACGGATGCTAGACGATATCACCGTCGCTAGTCAGCATGCCAGCCACTGTTGAAACTATTTGCTATCAAATAATTTTTATTTGCTTTTTAGTGCTCTCGTCACTTCGTCCAAAATGGAGTCATTGTGCCAAGCTGCAAACTAACCACCTTCTTGTTATGGTATTCTGCTGCTTCACCCCAGTTCTTACTTGTCACCGCGACTGTTGTGTCAACTTTTGGACCTAAAAGCTCTCTTGTCAAACCGCTATGATTTGTTTTTGGCCACCGTTTAGCTCGGTTTGGCCCCTTCGCATTTCAGAATACAAGACTGTACAAACAAAATTTAACAATAACTGTGTTTGGTGTGAAGATTATTTTGAAATTGACTAGGAAAGTTTAACGGTTGTTATTAGCAGCTTCAGTTATTCATCTAATACTCGGGTTGGTGTAAGACGTCATCGCTGCGTAGCAAAGCCATGTCTCGAGGTGCTCCATGACCTCTCATGTGATACAACATTTTTCCCAGCTACATTAAGCCAGTAAAAACAGTCAAAACTTGGATTTTAGTTTTAATCTGCTCTCTTTCCACTGCCAGTCACGAGGACGTACTAAACTTGATATGATGGGAGCCACTGACACCATAAAAGTGAAACATCCGTACCTTGTGCTCATTTTCGGCTTAGGCGTCTGCATTTTTGCAATTCTTGTAAAGCGAAGAACCGTTGCGACAAGGCAACTCAGATGCTCTACATTGTACCTTGCTTGAAGGTTCTGGCACCTAGAATACTGTAACGGTCCAACACCTTCTGCACCCTCAATACATCCTCTTCTCGCGCACTCAACATTCGTCTGTCTCCAAGTGATGGATTGTTAGCCTTTGTGCAAGAACAGACGACGGACCATAGCAGGAGGGATACAATCAATGTCCACCTTCGCCAACTGCCTTAGTCTCGTGGTTTGGAAAAAGCTAGCAAAAACCGACACTATGTTAGCCATGATGTGTCTGATTAGCTTGTTGCGCTCGTCTTGTGATAACATCGCATGTATGAACTTGCGATGCTTCCCTCACGTCTCCACCAGTTGGATGAAACCAGATGGACATGAATGAAGGGCACAGCAAGGAGGAATGCGGACGACACACCTACTCCACACGAAATGGTAAATCTTGGTCTCATTCACTAGACTCGGGCTTCGGACCAGTACTGCCACAGCTAGTTCTCATGCAGGACGCTACCCCGTATTCGATCAAACGAATAGTCAGTGTTGGCTGTAGTGCATTGGGGGCGTGCTTTCTTTACAGGGTGAATTACTTCCTTCTGTGTGCTTCATTCAGGGTCCCACATGGTATCAAATGGCAAGATTGTACTTCAAATTGTTTAATTTGTGGCAGAAGACAAGCATAAAACTATGGAAACGGCAATTTAGCAATAAAAGGCGTCTATTTTTCGCTGCATTCCTAAAATGAAATACCAAGAGATTCGTCAAACCGTGTGACAGGTCGATCATCCACGTTAATGGAAATGACTGCAATACTTTGGTTATGTGACCACCTGATTTTTGGCAGTCACTTTGATGTTTTGCCCTGTTTCGCATGGGCTGACCTTCAGGCCATGCCAAGGCTGTATCCTTCTTCTCTTGGAGTGCATGTAGTCTGCCCAACGTGATGCTTTCATCCGCCTGGTGAGAAGCCATTAAAGGCTACAGTGGTGGCATTGGAAAGCGAACTCAAGATTTTAATGACTTCCACATTCGCGTTGTCGTTTGTGACATGTGTCTACGGTGTAGATAAAGTGCATTCCCTAGGCGGGAGTTCATCTTAATTCCTCACAAACGAAGGTTTGAGAACAATACCTGCCTCTAACTCCACGTTGCCTCCGTGTTCCACCGAAAAGCTATTAACAGCAAAAATGACTGCCATGTACAATCGACCCAATCCCATTTTCTCGCCTAAAAATAAATGCATTTGGCAAAATAAGTGTATTATTTTGACTAGCGGAAAGTCTCGGGATGCCCTTAACTATTTAGTCCTCTATATTAGAAAATTTTTAAGTCTTGAGTTAATGAGAAGAAACACGAGAATACTGAGACCTTTAGCCCCTAGGCTCAGTCAAAGTATGCTGCATAACAAGTGTTCCAATTTACTGCAGATAAAGTTGTAATGTATACTAGTGTGGTTAAGTTTGCCTTTGTAAACGAGTTAGGAGGATTAATCACTTGAAACACGAATCCAGTGCGAGAGGAGTGTGAAGATTCCTTTCAGGGTGACTTCGGCTTTCTGTCTCATTAATCCTTCCCATTTCCTTTCTTCCTGTCCACGGTGCTTCTGCAAATAACTCTCTCCTGAAGTCCTTGGCTCAGAGGCTTGAAAGTAGGCAGGCAGGATCTACGAAAGATGCAGTTAATAACAAGTTGATTTTTTGAAATTTTTGAATTCACCTATAGTCTCCATAGGAGGCATTTGTGCTCAAGTGAATCAGTGCTTGAATGTTTAAATAACAGATAACTAAGACTGCATGGAATCAACAATATGTAGGTATTTCGCCCTATCCATGGTTGATATGTCTTTTTCATAGTGTGCTTATGTCACTTTACTTAGATATCTTTCTTTGAATTTACACTTCTAAAGCGCCTAGTTGGAGTAGTTTTGGTGCTGTGGGTTGTCGCCTCGAGTGGGTGTCAGGATTTTGGCGGTTAACCGTTTGTAAATATTGGCTAGCTGTGAAGTTTATTACATACGACTTCGTTATTTATTGAAATTTGCGTCTTAATTTAACTATACTATGCATAATGGTGTAATTTAGAATGAATACTGAACAAGATGAAGGCATACGACGCTCAGAAATGTCACTGAACTTGGGAGCAGTAGAGCGTACCGATGTAAAAGCAGATCCCTCTTTAAACCAGATCCCGTCGCTTAACAAAACAACAGGTGCGCTTCAGATTTTATGATATCTTGTTCTCAGTGGGTTCCAAAGACCTTCACTTGACAGTCCTTTTCTTCTAGCAGATCATGACTTTTCGGACATCATCAAGTCTGGTGTTGTTGCTAGCTCTGCTGGCAATGTGATTGCTGATTCTAAAGCTCCCAGCAAAGAAACTGATGACCGCGAATATCCGGCAACACCTACTGGTATCACAGCTCTGGGAAGTAATGAGACGGAGTCTCATGCCAATGCCTCCACAAACACTGCAACAATCGTACCACCTGCCTCTCTAGATGCAACGGCAGCTGCAGCTCTCACTCTAAAAATGAAAGAGGAACGCAAGAAAGAAAGGGAAAAAAGAAAAGAGGAAGAGCTGATGAAAAAGTATATGGCAGAACAAGAAGCAAAGCAAAAGGTGATCGGAATCTCCAAATGTGGTCGATGGCTTAAAAACAGCATTAAAGTAATCAAGTGTTGCTAACTTCATGGGTTCTTCTAGATAGGGGAAGGTGGATACAAGTTCGTCTACCGCGGGTACGACAGAGAAGAGGCGCGAACAGTTGCATGGTGTGAGTTTAAGCATGAACACGTCGATACCAAAGAAAAACGTCAAATTATGTTCCGCGAAACAGAAATTATGTTGAAGATGAACCACCCCCATATTGTTCGGTGCTTTGATGTATTTCGTGAATGGACAAACGAGGAGACGGCAGAGAATCCACTGGAGGAGAAGGGGCTTGTAATCATACAGGAGTTAATGTCTGAGGGCACCCTTAGACAGTGAGTGGCTCTTTCTATGTCTCTACTTTAGGGTGATCCGCAAGAACTACCTTGACGGGCAGTGTATCTTGAAGTTTCAACTTCTGACACACTGGTGGCATCAAATTGTCGACGCCTTGAGATACATGCACCATAGGCTGGAGACACCCATAATTCACCGAGACTTGAAATCGGATAACTGTTTTCTTTATGGTGACTCTGATGAGGAGTATCTGAACGTGAAAGTAGGCGATTTCGGTCTTGCAACGCAAGTGGGTAGCAGTGGCCGTAAAACAATGCTGGGTCAGTGCCAAGTAGATTTTTGTTTCTCCAGTCTTTGTATTTGTACTTTTCGATTTCACATCTCTTTATTGCAATGATTAGTAGACTAATGCTTGTTTTCGCGCAACTGAGGCTTCATATAGTCTGCGAAGTTAACTATCTAGATCTGAAATGTTTCCCTCGGGCCGCATTGACTTACGTTCAGTGTGCTTTGCTTCCATCCAAAAGTACTTTATTATGGTGCATAGTGTAGGTTCAATAGAATTTGCTGTTATTTTTACTATATTTTTGTCGAATGTGTCCACTGTTATCTCAACTAATGCTCTCTAGTTGAGTTTTCTGTCTCTGATTTACTGGCAAAGGGGACATCTGAGTTACCAAATTCTGTTTAGCATCATAGTTACATTGTTTACTTTAGCTGGTTTTTAACTGTCTACCTTTAGGTACTGTTGGTTTCATGGCGCCAGAAATTTTCGATGAAATGTACGATGAGAAAGTCGATATTTATGCCTTTGGAATGCTAATGCTCGAGGTAATGACAAATCGGACACCCTACGATGAGTGCGCCACGCTTTTTGATGCTGCGGCCAAAACGATGTCTGGTCATGGGCCGGAGATTATGCAGTTAATCACCAACTCGAATCTCTCCGTCCTCATATCGGCCTGCATTCATCCTCTGGCTTGCTTCAGGCCAACTGCTGAGGAGCTTTACTGTCATCCCCTATTCCAGGTATGCCATTCCTTTTACTGCTTAAATAATCGTTCATCAGCTGTTGCTTTGAGTCATGCTAGGGTATTCAGGTACAGTGCCAATGTCATCGTTTGGGTTTAATAAATGTTGCGCATAGCTGGTGTATGAAAGCCTGCGCTGGTAGGATCTCCAGAGCCTCAGACTAAAGGGGTCTGTGTCTTGTGTGGTTTCGCCTTTACTTCCTGGTCATAGCACGCAACGTTAAGGGCAAACTTGGTGGATGGGTGTCCGACACCACAGCGTTTTACTCAGTATTACGCTAGAACTGCTCCATGAACGCCATAGTGTGCAATTCATGCGTCTCAAGTGAATTTATTTTCTAAAGTAATTCTTGTTCGTGACTAGAGCTTTATTTACCTTGGCTCCTCCCTTAAAAATGTTTACTTAAGTTGCTCTCCAGAACAGGAAGCAGTTCCCTAAATTCTATTATCTAGAACTGATCTATACTTGGCATGATGTTGTTCGGTTCTTCAATACTTTCTAGACAGTTTCAGTTGTTTTCGGGTTTTATAAGTTAGTCAATATTGCTTCATAGCTTAAAGCTACCTTTTCGGATCGTGTAACTTATTCTCAAGGCTTCTGTGAACTCATTTAAGGGTCGAAGCATTATTAAAGGTTTTGCTTCGCGCACACAGTCACTGCGTTTGCAATTCAGAATGAGAAATAAAACTTAAATTAACTGTATCTCCCCAAAATTTTTCTACATTGAAACGAAGTTCATTCACTGCATTTTGCCAAAATAGTATTCACGTGACTATGCCTTGTGCAACTGGACTAGAAACCTTTGCGCATCTTTTCAAACTCACTGAATTCCTCTGTACTGACTTCGGATGTGTTTTGTATTGCGGGGACTTTGACCCGCAAGCCTTATCGGTATTGAAATTTCTTTGCTATATAGCAAAATATGATTGTTTCATAGATAATAAATTCGAATTTCATATGATAGGGAACATTCCTTTGTGCCTTTACGTAAGTCTTGCCTAGCTTTCTAATTAGACCCTATTAAGTTGCGTAAATAAGCCTTCTTGACGTAATGTTTAAGCTTTGCGAACAACTTGCTTAGTTGCGATCGGAACGATGATAGAATTTAACATTCAGTCTGAAGCTTTTTTTCGTGTTTCGGGTTTCATTTGTGGTAAATCCTCCGTAGACAAACGTGGTCAAAACTGCAGCAAGTTCGCTTCAGCCGAAAACGATACCTGTTGAGGTTGAACCAAATTACGAAACGGGAGCAGATCGCAAGGAGGTTCTTGAACGTTTTGTGCGCTCTTTGGCGAATCCGGACACTCGAAATCCCAGATTTAACCTACGTCTGCGATTTCGAGACCGCAAAATGCTTCAAGAACTGGGTCTGGATGAGGGGGAATCACTGGAATTCGACCTGGACATTTACAAAGCTGAGGATCAAGACATTCCTGATCTTATCACCAGTCTTGTAAGTGGTTGATGCCGTCTTTTTTATGAATGTAGAGCTATAGGGATTTTAACTTCCAAAGCGGAATTAAAAACCTTATGTTTACCAGACCAAGGGCTTAAAGTGATCTGCCCATATGTACCCTCTGAACTGGTTTGCCCAAAGACTTGCTTCATCACCAAAGGTGACTTGCTGTTTGCCTTCAGCGTCGCGACTACGAGGACAAATTGTCCAGAGCGTTCGCCAATCCAAAAGTTCCTGACCGAAAAATAGTGTCGAATCATTTGGATCGGCTCTTTAACAGCATTCGTATGCAGATGCAGTTTTTGGTCAAGTGCCTTTTGGGCAGACGTTGGAAGGACATTTTGGACTCTCTTGCAACCAAAGAAAAACCACCTAAGGAGAAGCCAGTGGCTCAAGAGGGCCAAGAGGGCAAGTCGGAAGATGTCGCAGCCGGCTCTGAAGAAGAGCCTGATAATAACATTGGTATGTGAAATTCGTCGTCTCTTGTGCATCTTTATGATTCTCTTTCTCGTGGGTAGATAGGAAGATTTGCCATTAATGCATTTATCAATTACTCTTCACCCCTCTATTAGCTGGTTGCAGCAACTTCGAGATAATTGCAAAATGCAAGTCCAAGTGGTTAAAGGCAAAGCGTATGTTGGATCGTGAGATTCAGGCCTATCGGAAGGCAGCTGCACTTGCGGAGTCTAGTCGTGGTGCTCTCCAAATTGGTGGATCGACAGATAAATTGCAGGAGCAACAATCACAACAACAACAACAACAAACGCAAATACAGTCTGGTAATCCACCTGTCCCTCCTCAACCAACCGTATCCACTTCCAATCCGTCTGCACCTGCCCTTGGTGCTCCTGAGGTTGTGCCTCATGGCATCGCTTCAACTTCTCCTAACCTCGTGGCAGAGGCGGCACCTAGTGGTGTAGAAGACGCCTCTGCTGCACTTCAAGCTCCTTCCACGCCCACCTTATTTTTGTCTCCAACTTCTCAGCAGGTAAGTCCTGATATCATTTGACCTTTGTTCAGCTCATGGTACTACTTCAAAAGTCAGTGTCAAGTACCACTAATCACTGCCCATTCAAAAATGTTTAAAATGGACATCTATACCGGTTAACCTTGAAAACCTTGTTTAACATTCAAGAGGTTAGGAATGACAGGCTGCTTTAAATAATCTTCCTCTTGGTGGAATCGATTTCTGTAAATAAACTCGGGAAAATCTTATTATGCTTGGTGGTTTGCGAGTCTGATGAAACATCCATTTGGTTTTAAGTTTTAAAGCTCTTTTTTTTTGGTCTTCCATAATCACGCGATGGCCATTCTGTCCAAATTGTTTACGTGGCAATCTGATCGTGAACACTGGTTTATCTTATAAATGAACAGCTAATCGAGGTACAGAAGGAAGACTATGTGACAGATCGAAAAATGCTCACGCGCTTCTCAAGTTGACGCGAGACAACTCGCACCATATGGGTGGAAAGTGGCAAGCTTCATTGCACATGTGATGAGGTTGCTGTGGAAATCGGAACATCGTTTTTCATCCAGTTTTATGTTTACGGTTTCATCTACTCGTGCGATGATTTATTTACGGTTGGTTGTTTTTGAAAAGCTTCGGCATTAGCAATTATTAGAGTTTTCCCATCAAATTTACCATCTCTAAGGTGATTCTTTCTAACCATCAATGTACCTTTTGCAGTCGTTTGTGCGAAATTTCATTTTTGTTCAAAATATTTACCGTCAATGATTTTATGGTTGTAATTGTTTTTTATGGCAATATTTGGTGGCGATCCTTGTGTCGCTCACTTACCACAATGGCCTCAATGATGGCTTCTACTAGGCCGAAATTTGAATTGCACTACACTAAAACATTTCTCCCAGGGTTCCATTCACCAAACATGGCCACTGTACATTCATACAGCCTGTCCCTTTGTTCGACGATAGCAGCGTTTGGGCTCTGGTAAACAGTTCAGTATTCTTCATTAAAATTGTTCGATTCGTGTTCTCTATGGACCATAGAAAGTACACTGGAAATACGGCCCGTCTGTCAGTATCGCTGTCAGCGATTGTTTACTATGGGAATTTGAACTTTAATCACGTCGATCACATTTGTTTCCCGGATTTTTGGCATGGTCACTCATATTTTGAATTTATTTTAGGTTGAACACGCGGGGTAACATAACGGTAGCACATCTGTTTATTCTTGGAAAGTTGAACTGATCATTTTCATGCATGCCCATGTTCAAGGGTGGTATATTCGAGTGTTCTCCTTTGAAAAAAGTCGTACTTAGAGTTTCTTCTGGGAACAAGTGTCTTTTGAATTCTAATCCTGTCTTCAGAATAGCGTTTTCAGAAGTATCAAAGGTCTGTGCGCAAATTTCATCATAGGTATCTCTTCTGTTACTAGCTGATATATGTATATTACTGATTTTTACAATTTACTTACTACGGTGGTTTCTGAAGCAGTTTTTTCTCTCTATCACTTCTGCACATGGTGAATATTTTGGTTATTTGCACCAGGACTACTCGGCCATACAGCAGGGATCTCCGACAGCCTTTGCACAGGCCTGCGCTCCACACCCTCCTAGCAATCCTCCAATTACATCACAGTCTCAAGGTCAGGCAGGTCCTGTCAAATCGGCTGCCCAGCCAATAGCAGTACAACTACAATCTATACATCCTCCGCCTGGATCCCAACACCAAAACCCTCTTATTAGTCCTCTCGTCACTGGTCAGGTGCTTCAGGTCAATGCTCAGCATATACCTCGTGTAGGAATTTTTCGCAAATCCTTTTTTCATTCATTGATTTGATGTGCACTCCGATACCCTTGCTAGGAGATTCCTTCGAATCTCGGAGCTGCAGGAGTTCACCCAACAATTTTTCAATTGTCGCAACCTCCAACAGCTGCATCATTTCCTGCTCTTCCTATCGTTACGAGCTCGATCCCCGTAGGTCTTGTAGAACAGCAACCTGCATCGGTTACGACAGGTTTCCCCTACATGACCCAACAACCCGCATCATATTGCTCAGCTTCGGGTCTACCCTCAAATTTCACTCTTCAGCAACCGCAACAACAACAAAAGATGGGTTTGTCACCTGCGCAAATTATACCATTTTTACTATTTCTTATTTGACCATTCAGAGCTATAATACATTAGCTAAAGTCATGAATTGGGATAAGCGGTCCTTTCTTGCGTTATGAACATTTTTCCACCCAATCACTTTTCCCAATATTTGTGGGCTGTAAGTGGTGCCGATGTGGATTCATTTTAAATACATTCTCGTTCTATCTGAAACAAATACAACTTATGGTTTTCGGTTTTTTTCTTTCAGGTGATGAAAGACTGCATGACAAGGAAATAACTTCGGACGCGGAAGTGAGACTCTTTGGAGTAACCGTTGGCGAAATGCATTACTTAGCTAGCTAGAGCCTAGTCTTTAGTCAGTGAGCATGTTCTTATGCAATTTGTCTTTTTGTTTCAGCCATTCATTCGACAAATTCTAATCGAAGATAACGGGAGGTTGATAGCTTTTTCATTTTAGTTCGCTATTTTTATGCGCGAACCATATTCAATCGTTTATGTAGCTTTGCATTATTGTTTTTTTTTTTCGTCTAAATATGTAATTATTTCATGCTATCACTGACGTATCTTGTTGTTTAGATAATAAGCCTTTTTAAGCATCATTACTAGGGCTGATGAGTCAGCTATGTGCCACCTCCTACCCGGCTAGCTATTGTTGCCACTTTCTGTCAGAGAGGTTCCTTCTACTAGGATCACCTGAGGGGATCACTTCGTTTTTTGCAATAGGTCGTTGGCCAACCAGGAGGACCTAGTTCCGGTCTTCCAGAGGCTCTGTTGGTACCTGCCTTGGGTATCGGCGGTATCACATCCGGCTACGCATCCCTACCCGCACAGCATTCAGCTAGTCAGCAACTCACCTCCATCGCTAGCTCTCCTATTCTCCTCGCCAAGGTAAATGCGCACTTTACAAGTGTTCTCTCCTTATTTAATTTTGAAGAATCCAAATTGCTCTCGAAAATATTGTACCAGATCATGATAAATTCGAACCCGCTTAAAAGAAGCGGCGGAAATTCCGCATAATTGCTTATCTTTTTCATTTGTGGTTTTTTGAGATAATTGCAGCAGTTATTGGGCGTGTTTGAGCGTGTCATTTCAATATTTATTTCTGTTAAACCGGCTATGCTTTTTGTTTAGCCTAACAGTTGTCACTCCAAGATTAAGGTGGGGTTAAAGTAAATCACACGGCAGGAGCATTGTTCTGTATCGTATAGGCCTAAGGTGTGCTAGGCGCTTAAATTCGTCGCCATATGCACTCAGTGTTGATATGGTGTCGTTCGTGAATGTTTTAAAAGTTCAAAAATGGTCATGCTGACCTAGTGAGAGAAAATGGTAGGGGACTTTGAAGAAAAGTAAGAATTGCTATGGAGTTCGAAAGATACTATTACAATCGCAAGTTTTGGACCTCCTTTCGGTAGTTCATCGTAGCCTTATTTTTCGATGGCAATCTACTGAAGCGTTAAAGCGAGCACCTTTATGTTTGTTCCTGAGACTTGACTCAGCTTCCTCGGAAAGCTCAAAATTTACTCTAGTCTTGTGGCATCCATAATTGTGGATAAGGGTTGAAGCCATTCATGCTTAAAGGAATCCGCATTTGCTAGCAATAAATTGTCCGCCATATGTACAGCCATTTTTTTCATTCACCAACGTTACCAGGGTTGTTCCTTCTCTGCCACTTGAACCATTTGATCCAACTTCCTTGATATTCAGTGGAAATAAGACTTTTTATACGGAAGACCTGTTGATAACGTATGGATTAGTCTCTCTTCCCCTTCATCTTCTTACGGATGGAGAAAATCGCTTTTATAACATCACTTTTGCATTAAAAATTTCCCCCTTCAACCTCAATTTGTGCTGTTTACTATCTCAACGGAACCAATCGCTCATAAGTGAGACCAAATTATGCGTGTTTTCTCATCTCTTGGTGCAATATTTTGAATGAACCCGTCTTTGGTTTTTTCCTTCCCCTCTCTGGCTCCCATGTGTCCCTGTGTGTGTGCATGCACTTGCGTTGTGTCAAGCAGACAATGCGGTCAAGACCGGTGAGCGAGGGCAACCTGCATCGTCTCGCGCCCCGATTGCATCGGGCACCCTTCTTGCCAGAGGCTCTCCATCGCAGGCGCCAAACGCAGGATCGCATGCACCATCCTCATGCCGTTTTCAACTCTCCGCGTCTTCTACACACTACATATCACAACACTTCCACGTCACGAAGGTCCCTCTTACTGCAGGGAGTTGGTGGTGTTCACCACCCTTCCGTTTGGAACTGCTCCAGTTGGCATGCTGGTTGCCAGTGTTCCCGGTTCTCTGCATTTGTAGGCCACGCTTGACTCACCATTTATTGCGGCACATGCACAACTCGACGATGCGCTTTCTGTCGATTCTACCCTCCTCCTCCACCCTGAAGCACAACACCATCAATCGTCATCGCTTGCAACCTTTTAAGGGGTCGTATCGACACACTGGCTCCCGTCATTGCCTTTGTCTTCCCCAAGACGCCTACCACTACTCATCCATTTTGCTTGGGTCAATTCAATCAACCCATTTCCAATGTTTGGTTGTGCTTGTCTGTATTTGCTTTGTATTTTGTTCTCAACTTTTTGTGCTACTTGCGTTTGTTTTTTTTTCTCTTTTTGTTAACTCCATTTTGATTTTAAGTTCAGCGCTTTGCTTATTTGACCGAAGTAACTATCTCTTCCTAAGGAAAAAACGTATTTTTGTTCACTGTTGATAATGCATGGTTTCCCCAGCATTCGCCATCAGGTCTATTATACTTAGAGTCTCAACAAAAGCCTCCTTGATTCTACGCTGCGTTACAGGAACGATGCCTGCGCCGATTGATACCTACTGGCTAGTATAAGTAACACTTCACTTTGCTCGAAACCGAGACACTCGAATTGCTGGCCTTCCAGTTCTCTCCAAAGATAGATCCAGTAAAATTGAGTTTTAACAAATCCTTCATGACATAATGATCCTTTGGTTCGCCTCACCAATAAGAGCATCTCCCATACTTGGCTTATTGAATCGGTGTGCTCTGACGAAGGGCTTATTGTTAAAGCGTGTGAATTCATTTGTTGGGGTTCTTGCTACAGTCAACTGACCATACCTGCGATCGGTCCTATTCACTCCATCTTTAATTTGATTTGTATTGTTGCCTATTTGGTCAAATTCTTTCAATTCAGCTGCCTTCTCATAAGTCGTGTTGGTAGTGCTTTTGTGTTACTGATTTACGCCGTTCATTGCTGCTCTGCGAAGTGCCTAACTGAAGTTAGAGATGGCGCTCAACCTATTCTGGATAGTGCCTCCGTTTTATGATCACATTAAGTTGTGCTTTTATTTGCTGTCAAAATGTCGCTAATCTTACACGTATGACCGCTTGTCATTGTCGGCTGGACGCAGATGTCTCGCACTACTAATCTTACCCCTTACGCTAACCACTTCAACTAGCGCTAAGGAGTTTGTATTTTTATTCTTCAGGCTGCAGAGCAGCAGCGTGTGGCACCACCAGTTGGCCCCAAGCCAAAGCGAAAAATGAGTCAAACAAAGCCAATTGTAAGCCAGCAGCCGCTACGCTATATAATCCGAATAACCCGGTTGGAACGTGAGTCCGAAGGCTGTGATGTACCAGGCACTCTGCGGCCGACTTTTTACCTCGAAATGCCCGATGTCAACAACCCTAATAGTGAGCTGTGGAAGCTCAGCTTCCGCTGTAACCTCTCCGACACTACTGATGACATTAAGCTGGTGAGCTGAAGCAGATTCATAGTTTTGGCATCATGTTCACTACTGATTCTTTCCTCAAATTAAATCAATTGCACAGGAGGTCTCAAAACATTTCGGCTATTCACGTACTGAAATCTGGTAACTGCTATTTTTCCACTCCAATTAACTCCTTTTAAACGGTTGTAATAGGTTCGAAAACTAAAATTTCTCCATCCATGTCTATCTTGCCTTTAAATTAAGTCACCCAGTGCAGATATTCGAAATTTTCATGTTTGAGCCTAGATGGTACGGTTATCAACCTCCCATCAAGTTCTCGATACTAACAGTAATTACTAATGTTCTCGGCCTACGTACTGAGCATGGCATTGATTTAAGTTTTACTCTAGTCTAACCTCTCATGCATTTTGTGCTGTACGAACTCTTCATTTATCCATTTGTTTTTTTTAAGTTTGAAGGTTGCGGCTACACACAAACGAATGGAGAGGTGGATCGGGCAATAAAGGAAGCGGTGGCAGTGATGCTGCGTGCTCTGCAGGTGGATGAGAATTCTATTCCCCTCAATCACGACTACGTCTTCTACCCACAACTCTCATCCGAACTGAAAAACCTTTCCGAATGCATCGCACCAACCGCAACAGTGAAAACAGAGCCAACAAATGACGAGATCGGACAGTCGCCTTCCATGCCACCTGCTGCCTCCGACCCGGCTGCTGCATTCGGTACTACTATTTTTTATTGTGGTTAGTTTTTCGCAGCCAACTCCTCTCTCGATCCTATTCCACACTTCGTAAGGCAGCTTCGCTACCATGCGTGCATCCGTTATGCACATGTTGAATGCGCTAATTCGCAGTTAAACAGCAATAGTTCATCGTTTAATAAATGAACTTTTACGTCTTTAGCTTGACCATGCATCTTGACTGATGGAATAAAATGTGTTTCCCTTGTTTGGTGCTTTGTCAGATGCAACTTTTGCTGAAAGGTTTCCTTAACGCTTTAGGTCGTTCTAATTAACTGTGCTTGGTGCATTACTGAGCGTTTGCCTATGATGCCAGCTAGAATAGAGTTAATGGCCTCATCTTAATGCTGCTTATGTTGAACCGCGTACTCACCACTTATATTCCTCAGTTCTATTGGAAAGGTCTGACTATTATTATTTTTTTTAAGGATCGCTGCATGAGGGAGATTTAAGTGACACAACGTCGTCTGCTGGATCACCAGTTGAAAAAAATGTGCAGCCTGTATCCACTGGGCTAGCGGGCATGCACGCAACTCCAGATTGTGCGTTTTCATCTACCAACTCTCCCTACATCAACCAGGTTGCTTCTATCTCCTCCTACACAGGTCATTCTGGTCTGGAGGAGGTTCCACCGATCTTTACTGTAGGTCAAGCTGAAAATGCCTATCCTTCAAAATCAATCCCTTCATTTCCGATAAATGTTGATCCTCTGCGTTTCTATCCGTCGGAGTCTGGAAATCCGTACGACAGCACTGAGTCTCTCCCAATTTATAACAGCGCTGTTTATGCCCACACTATGGGCCCGTCAACCAAAGAACCCGATGTCTTTACGACATTGAAGGTGCCTGCTCATGCTCAGTCGTTGGTTGCTCAATTTGCACATCACCTGTGCACTTGTCGCCGGAACGATCCGCTCCTCGTCGTACCAAGTGACGCCAACACAACAGGTTACATGTCCGTTCTATCAGAAAACTGTTCCTTTCTCTGTTCAAGGAATGGAATCGGTGGTGGATTCAGTGTTATGCCTGTTCCTGCCTCCTCTTCTTTTCTGGAAGTCCAGAACAAGTCGCCTTCTTCCGCACAAGGACGGGTTATCCGTGCACCTTATAATGGATTCATTGTGGTAATGCCTGATGGAGAAATGCACTATGTCCAACGTCCGTTGGTTATTGTACCTGGAAATTCTCAACGCCCTTTGTTGGAGCTTCCCCTATTAAGTGCTGACGGGTCATCGGTGCAACTCGACGATATCCTTGCCCTTCTGATCAATCTTCGGGAAGGCATGGCGAACGCACCGACTTCGGCTCCTATTCCAAGGGAACGTTCAGCCACTGATGCTGCATCACAACCTCAAATTCGACAACAGGACGCAAATTACTACAGTCTGCCGTATGGAGCTGTGCCAATGAGCTCCACCAGGGCTCCGACGCAGGCACCTCTTGTACCGGGACCCTCCACGTTCACGCGGCAGATGGGCTTCAGACCTCCACCACTATCATTAACACAGCAGATTCCGATAAGAGTAGCATCAAGCAATTCGTCTTCATTTGTCCACGGTGATTTACTCGCTCCTGGGTCTGTAACTCGTGCACCCACTTCTTCACTGGAGTACTTACTTAACAAGCCACCAACACAAACCTCTCGGCAATCGCAACAACTCTTTCAAGCTCCAGCAATAGGTACCTCTGGACTAAGACTGGATCATGTAGCACAACAGAACCAACCAAATCTGGAATACGTAAGTCTTGTTGATTGTGCCACATGTTGTTCAACACTTTTTTTTGTTTTTTTAAAAAAGTTCGTTAATGTTAACGAATCTTTACCTTCCATGGGCATTCATGGGAATCCAATGTGTTGCATTCTAGGTATCAACACTTCTAGCAGCGAATCCGTCCTTGTTTCTTGCAACTGCGGCTGCATTGAGTGCCAACAATTCCACAATACCTCAGCCGACGCCATCTGGTCTGTCGAATCTCCAAGCCCCGCCAGTGGAATCACTGTGGAGCAATCCTACCTGCGCCTCCTCAAATTCATTCTCACCTTCTGCTGCTTCTCTCTCAAACACAGATACAATGAAACAAATCCTTTTCCGTACTGCACTGGAAAATGCACATCAACAGCAACAGCAGCAACAACAGCCCATGTCAACTCCCTGTGCTACAACGATTCCATCCATCTCAACTTTACCCACTGCTGTCATTAGTGCCCCCGTTCACTCAGGGCTCATTTCCTCTACTGAAGTGTTCGATCCTAGCACAGGTCATGGACAGCCAATCTTACCAACTGCACCCACCACGCTGGTATGCATATATATTGACTTCTTTAGTTCTAATAATTCTTAAAACATCATTTGTTGATGCTTTTAGTACCAATCAACCAGATTTCCTCAGCCGCCTGTGGCATCGGCTCAACCAGTAATGGGAATCGCCGGCGGTCAGCCACAAATGTTTCAACAGCAACAGCACTCAGTCCCTGCTGCTGCTCCCCTATCATGCGCTAATAGTGAGGTAGGGCTCCAATGGTACAGTGATCTCTTATCGAAAAGCTTTCCAATTCATTGACGTTGGTCAGACCATCCAAAATAGTTCAACCAAACTTAATGACAACGCCATTTGCTAACTGCCGTAGAGATGTTTTTTATCATTCCATTGGTTCTTTATAAATATGCTTGATCTTTACCTTGCAGTCTTTGTATTATACTCGTTAATTCAATTCTAAAGTGATCATTTTCGCATGCGTAAGGTGCCTCAAGTGCAGCCATCGACAGCGCCAATAATCGTTTCTTCATCAGTACAACTCATCAGACCAGCTGTCTCAATGCCAACTGCAGTCTCTAAATTTGTGGTTACACCGGCAGCACCAGTATCGTCAATTCAAACACCGAGAGAAAGCATCGCTTCCACATCTTCCTCGACGGGTCCGCCACCACCACCACCTCCACTGCCTTCCCCCTCATTACAGGTCACAACTGTTGTTGGGAATAGATTCACGGTAGGTTAAGTTTGTCCTTTCACTCCCTTTCCTAAGTATTGTATACATTCGTTTTTTCATCTTTAACACAATGTTTCAAAAACTGTGCGTGCCTGATAAATTCTATCTTATGCACAGGTGGTATCGCTGGATTCGGGTGTAGCTCAACCGAATCCAATGGAATCTCCACACGCTCCACTGCCGGCACCTCCTCCTCCACACACAACAGCTCAACAGCTGCCATCGCAGGCCGCTCCATCAGGCCCTGGTGTTTACAAGAAAATTCCTCCGAAATTCACTGTATGTCAGCTCCTAATAGCCTCTTTTCCCTTCCTCACACTTTAGCCATCACTTTAAATGAACGCTTGGTAACTTATCCAACCTCACACGTGCATATTCCTAAATCTCATTAACTGGTCCTGTCTTTACGCTGAGTGTTATTGTATGAGTCGGTAGTTGGAATGAATATGAGTTAATTCATGGCCTCAGTATGCTTTGTGCAACCTCTTAAGCAGTGCGTATGGGATGTGCGTGCTATTTTAGGTGAGACCGGTTTCAGAAGCCTGAAGGGGAAGTCGTGTTGTGAGGTAAGTCAGTGCATCTCATGTGCCTCCTCAGCACTTGTTGTCGCGTTCAGCCAGAGCCTATATCACCGTTTCCCATTGTGATCGCATGCATCCCCGTCTATCATTAGTATTGACTGTTGCTCCTCTACCGTTTGCCATTGTGCGCATCATTAAGCCGCGTATTAAATCTGATATTTTGGTTAACAAGTTGCTAATTTGCCTATAACACTGGCATAAGATGCTTTACTTCCGTAATGCGCCCAGTATCGTCTCATGTTTGACACTGCATACAAAATCAGATGGAGGTGTCATTGGCTTTACTGGTGAATCGGCGAATGCTGTTGTGTTTTCCTGCGAAGACGAATCAATCGCTTGCCTTTTTAAGACGAGACGCTTACCTGAAATAATGCTAACGAAAGCATTAGCCTCCACTATTTGCATCTCACCATATTACCAACGCCTCTAACATTGCATTTGCCATCCTTTCCTTTGCGTGTGTGTCTGCATTTATGAAGGTATCACCGGTGGGGAGCGACACGACACCGTGCAATGATGGCACTCTGCCGTCACGCTCCACTTCTGAGGCCACACCGACCTTGGCTGCTCCAAACACCACCGACTCTGCCTCTAGCATCATTCCAAATGCTACGCCTCACTCTTCCCCTCCGTCTGAAAATGACCTGCCCTCAGAATGCCCTCCTCCTCCCTCTACGCCTGCGATGTCCAATCAAAGCTCCGTTGTTGAGCCGTCACTCCCGCCCACTTCCCGTACTACCACTTTGCCCTAATCCTCCTCTACCACTGCTGGTGTTTTCCTTATTTCTTTGACGCCAGTGGGGTGCGAAACTAGTTTAATCTGTGATTACCTTCTTTATTTGAATTAAGCTTTTCTGGCCGACTTGGTGCTTACTTTTGAAACTGTTTAGTTAATATCTGTCACGATGATGGTTCTCCTACTTTGTGATGGTTGAGTAGTACCACTTTCTTATGCGTTTGCTTTTCCAAACCTGGTTTCTTTTGCATTTTAGGTGCCGCTAACTGATCAAAAATGATGTTGGACCTCTATAAATCCGTTCATTAAGAGTCTTTCCACTCATTTCATCTAGCGATCCGATACCCTTTTTCTAAATATTGTTCTTCGAGTTTACTTTGGATTTTTTTGCAACACACAGACCCTGTATACTGGAAAAACGAGTTGCAAACCTCATTTCTTCACATGTTCACTTCCCAGGTCTTAATTACTACTGTACAATCCCTTTCTCCGTCGTCTCACGTTCCTCCCTTGTCAGTTACACTTTCTTGCGCTAGTGGTCTGTGCTAATGCAAGCAGAACGTGCTTTCTCCTCTCCTCGATGGCGCACATGCTTTGACATTGAACAGCGTGTCAGAAGAGTCACTCCTCTAGTAATAGGCGTTCCATTGCCTTTGTTTCACATTGTTAATTGTTTGGGTAAGTGGTCTGTTCGGTGAACTGCAGATGCATTTGAAAATGAAGCCGTTTTCTTCCGGTGTAAGTGTTTTGTTGGGGCGGTAGATTTGTGACCCGTTTAGATGTTTGTAATAGGCATGGATTCTAAGACAAGGACGGTTGCTGAAACCCAGTGTGGACAAAGTTTACAATGTACACGATTCTTCTCGTCTTTACAGACTGTGGTCATGACAGAGATCACTCAGTCTCATCGCTCGTTGTCATTCTTGATCAACTGTGGCTTACAATGGGTTTGAGTCAGTGTGCCTCTCGGTAAGCAGGAACAGCAGCTCTTTGTCTTCACTACGGTCTATGGCTATCTGGCACGGGATGTCCTATGTTGTAACGCTGTAACGACTTGCAAACATGGTATAAACTCCCCATCGTTTTCCCTGTGGCGTTTGCCATATTCGAATATTAGTGACGGCATTAGGGCTTGGTGTCATCACAATATTGACTGGTCCATGAGTTAGTACGCTGTGATTTGTTTTATCCAGTGAATAGTTGGTTCAGCGAGCCAGCGTAAAAAGTGACTTTCTGGCACGTAGCATTCGCTACTGCTTTTATTCGCCTTCCAGTTGCTCTTTACCAGTCTACGTTTCCCGGGCACCTTATGGAGCACTATTGGGATTTCCATGTACCTTAGAGAGTTGAACGTGACTGGGACTGAATTAATTAACCCTATGAATTGCAGTAATAATGGACTGACAGATCACAGAATTTGCTTGGTAGGGAATGTCACCATCAGCACATTGTACTTAGAGTTGAGCTGTGCTTGAGAGAAAACAACCGATTTTCTGTTTGGAAGTTGTGAACTTTTTTCCTATTTTTTATCAGAATACCGAGGTCTAAATTTGGTGGACAGTTGACAGTTGACTGTAGCGAAAAAGAGGAAGAATTTTACTATTACGCAGATCATCAAGCAAAATTTTAATGTTGTTTCAGCGGAAACAGGTGCTCATACTTACCTTCTTGTTGCTCGGTGAGAATAATGTTCTCCGTGTCCTGAAGATGGTCATGCAATCGAAGCAACACTGACAGGCTGACAACTAGTAACAATTCGGCCAAATATTTACCTTTTTGCACAGTGATGTTTCGCTATCGTCATTCGGTATTCGCAGTAGTGAGCACCACTAGCAACTTCATTTTTTCCTAATTTAGGCAATGCTTATGCCCGTTAATACCCATCTCTCGACAAGTGATTCGTTGCACTTATGAAACTCAACATGTCTCTTCTTTAATGCTTGGTTTCAGCATCGTGTTCCAAGTTCCCTTAACCACGTCTGCACATTTTGTTTACGGTATTTCGTCTTTTTATTTCACTACCTACATACCCGCCTCATTGTTCGAGTCCTGCATAACAATGCATGGCATTTATGTGTCCCACCTTTTCACACAATCTCATGACAACGCTGTTGCTCATTTCTAACACCAATGACGAGGTTACCCTACGCCAAGCCATACTGAATGGTTACCATGTCTAGCCTCTGGTCTTGCTTGCCTGTCCGCCATTTGGCAGAGTTATACACGAACACAAAGATGGCTCAACTTGAGGAGCACTTTGTGCCACTTTTATTTAGTCTCACTACCTATGGAAGTTCTTTTAGTAAGCGATTAACCTTTGGTCTGCTGAACCATGCTTCTGAAATCTTCATGTTTCTATTTCGTTAGAAGCTTAGAAAAGTCGCACCTACAAATTACGCACTTCTATTCGTATGCGTGTTTCTTCTTTTGTAGCCTTTTTAAGGCTACAAGGGGCTGAATTGATTGCTATGTAATCTTTTTGACATTACAATGGATATGGTGACAGAAACAGTGGGCTAGCGTTTTGAAATCCCTAATGAGTTAGCAAAATATTCACTCCTCAAAGATGAATTTTTAGCAACTGCAAAACCAAAATTCTTTGAACAGATTGTCCCGTAATTCATCTTTCGTTGACTACTTTTTTCCAATTTGTCTTGTAAATTTGATTGTCCTTTTTTGTATTCTGTTTTATTCGCATTCTAATGCCTTTTACTCTCCTCCCTCATTAATGCTCAGTGTACAATTCCTGGAATTCCTACAGAAAGTTGGCTTAAAATTGATGTCTGGATGCGGTCAAAGTATCCATTAGCATGCTAATCGTTCATGCTTCTGCCTTACTTTGCAAAAAGACGCCGTAAATACTCGTTTGTACTCACCCTTCAGGAGACGAAACAACGGTGTTTAACAACACCCTTTTGTGTTTGAGTCGCAGCAATATTTAAACATCTCAATCTCAGACGTCAGACCTCGATTTTAATTTCGTGAAACGCAAAACAGGAGACTGCGATTTTCCAAACCCATTTCGACTGATCTTTCATCCTTAAACGCCCGAAGTCAAAAACCTTAATAGCGAGATGGAAGAAAATACGCTTTCGTTGCAGCCTCCACGACTCTGTCGACATAAAATTTGTAAGCCGAGTCATGCCATTAATGGTTATTTCGACTTTATCTTCAGCTATAAAGCTTTATATTGCTTCCTCAAGCATAAATGCTTACTCTTTATCACTAGTGATGGCTAATGGGTATTTTAACCCTCGTTTGGGTTTGGATCAGGATCACTTTTGAAGTATGTCATTTTCTGTTTTGCGATGGTTCATCACTGCCTTTAAGCTGACTGAAGACAGTTCCCGAGACGGTCCCCTTGTGTGACACTTCCTTAGCTTATACTCAGATGCAAATATACACAGAATCACTTATTGTCAAAATTACGTTATCCCCTTCAAGTTCTACATCTTCCCCAAAAATCTACTCATCTTACTGTAGAAGTATTTCAGCTCTAGTTTTAGGATCATGGTTTCACTGCAAAAAATGTAGAGATAGAAAGGGCGATATAGGAAGCAGTGGCACTGATGCTGCGTACTCTGAAGATGAATACGGATTCTGTTCCCCTCAATCATTACTGCGTCTTCTACACACAACCTTCAGCTTTGGTTTTTTTGCAACACACCGACCCTGTGTATTGGAAATACGAGTTGCAAACCTCATTTCTTCACATGTTTACTTCCCAGGTCTTAACTACTACTGTACAATCCCTTTCTCCGTCGTCTCACGTTCCTTCCTTGTCAGTTACACTTCCTTGCACTAGTGGTCTGTGCTAATGCAAGCAGAACGTGCTTTCTCCTCTCCTCGATGGCGCACATGCTTTGACATTAAGCCCTTCACACTTGCAATGTCAATTCAATGTTCCGTTGTCGAGCTGCCTCTCCCACTTATTTCTCACGCATCACCACCTTGCTCTAATCTCTGTACTCGCGCTATTGTCTTTGCTTACTCAAATGCTTGTGCAATAAACTGGTAGTTAGGCTGGAGTTTTTGGCCCCACATTAACAATCTCTTCTTATCTGTCACTTGCGTATAAGCTTAGATTTTTAAGCATTCCTGGCTCTTTATATAATTAATCAGGCGAGTCATAGTCTTTTAAATATTAAGCAATACAAGCTACCACGTACGTTTTCTTGTTACGTTGCAAATATTCGGCTGGTCAAAACTTGGTGGAACGGTTGATTGTTAGGTGCACGGCGCTTCCCACTTCTCCATACAGCACAACTGCTGTGCCAACGCCTAGCCTCTCTTGCTTCCACTTGGTTTGTGTAGTTCATAACTGTTTCTTCGTCCCTTATTGTTTGAGAATTTTCTTTGCCTATTCATACATCCAAATTGTAGTCACTTGTAATATGTTTTTGGCTGCCTTCATCTACACACAATTTAAATGCTCTAAAGTTTGTCAACTTGTACTTCCATTCTGTCTAAACAAACCTCAAAAAAATGGGTAAAGTGGTTTCGATTCACGCATTTGTCTTTGAAGTGCTCAGTTTATCATGAAAACGGGAGGTAATCTTAAAACAGGGCGTTATTTTCTCATGCCAGAAAAGAGCGTTGGGAGGTAATTGTGTGCGCTGTGGACTTTGACCGTCACTGAACTTCGTGCGACTCTGTTCGACACTGCAGCTCCACATTTTTGCTCATTTTGCTTGAACAACGCGCCTTTCGCAGAGCCCCTCGTTTTTGTGTTGGTTGTGCAAAGAACCAGACCTTACCTCTACTTTAATCCAGGCTCTAAAAATGCACCTTGTTGTGAAATTTGTTTTGGCCTCATATCCTGGGTCACATAAGTAATTGGATATGGAATGGAGTCTCGAGTGTAACTGTCAATGTTTTCCAGCTTTGCTAATCTCCTCTAATGTACAACAAGTAGTGTAGTCTTTTACCTTGTGTCTCGTTTATTTCTGTCAGGCAGTGCTAAGATTGGACCTATTCGTCTTCCTCAGATGTTCTTAGGCCTCATTTTGACAACAC